TTTTCTCTCCTCCCTCCATTCTTTTCTCTCCTTCCTTCCCCTTCCCTGTTCTCTTTCCTCCTTCCCTCTTTCCTTCCTCCCATTCCCTCCCTTTTCTCTCCTCCCTCCATTCTTTTCTCTATTCCCTCCCTTCTTTTCTCTCCTTCCTTCCTTCCCCTTCCGTTCTCCTTCCTTCCCCCTTCCTTCTTTCCTTCCTTCCTCTCCCTCCCTCCCTTTTTTCTCTCCTCCCTCCCTTGTTTTCTCTCCTTCCTTCCTTCCCCTTCCCTGTTCTCTTCCTTCCTTCCTTCCTTCCTTCCTTCCTTCCTTCCTTCCTTCCTTCCTTCCTTCCTTCCTTCCTTCCTTCCTTCCTTCCTTCTTTCCTTCTTTTATTTATTTGATTTGTCAACTGCTTACAAGATAATAGGTATAAGTATAAACATGAGTAACAATACAGGAAATAGGTGCGAATAAATGGGGACAATAGGACAAGGAGGGTAGGCATGATGGGGCACTTATGCACGCCCCTTACAGACCTCTTAGGAACGGGGTGAGGTCAATAGTGGATAGTTTGAGGTTAAAGGAGTTGAGAGGTTTAAGGATGTAACCACGGAGTCAGGCAGTGCACTCCAGGCATTGACCACTCTGTTGCTGAAGTCGTACTTTCTGCAATCCAGTTTGGAGCAGTTTACATTGAGTTTGTATCTGTTGTGTGCTCTTGTATTGTTGTGGTTGAAGCTGAAGTAGTCATTGACAGGTAGGACATTGCAATGGATAATTTTATGTACTACGCTTAGGTTGGACCAAAGGCAGCATAGTTCTAGTTTGTCTAAGCCTAACATTTCAAGTCTGGTGGTATAAGGCAGGGGTTGCCAACCTTTTGGACCTCAGGGACCACCAAACTCATCATTTTAAATCCTGCGGACCAGAGACCCTGGGAAAATCCCCCCAAAAAGTCTGCAGGAAAATTCCCCACCCCATTTTCCTACCGATCGATCATTCTTTATTTGGGATCGCAGGATACCGTCTCCAGCTCTGTTCTCAGGAGGAGAGAGAGAGAGAGAGACTTTTGGCTTCATGCAAGGAAAGCAGCAGAAGCAGCCGAAGTCTTTCTTTCTCTCCCCCAAACTCCGCCACAAAGGAGTCTTTGCCGACACAGCTTCTTGGAGCAGGAGGCCTTGCAGGGTCCCAAAGACTCATTTCTGGCAGAGTTTGGGGGAGAACAAGAAAGGCTTCTGCTGCTTTCCTTACGTGCAGCCAAAAGCAGAAGAAGAAAGAAGTGGAAAGAAGCAGCCCAGCCAGGTGCGTGGGGCAAGTCCCCCCCCCTTTCTCCAATCCCCTCACTCCCTCGTGTTGTTCTCAATGCAAGCGACGCAAGCTTTGTGTTCCCATGGTCCATGTGGGTGACGCAGCCTTGTTTTCCCGCGCAGCCTGGATTAATTGCTTTGGTGGGACATTTCTCTGTGGGCTACCAAAATTTTCTCACGGACCACCAGTGGTCCCTGGCCCACTGGTTGGCAACCACTGGTATAAGGTATTCTGTTGCGAGCAGAAGAGTGGAGGACTCTTCTCGTGAAATATCTGTTAATGTCCATTATACAGTGCGGAGTCCAAACAGATGAGCTGTATTCGAGAATTGAATGTTGCCCATCAGAAGGTGGCAAAAGTGTATCACGTGACCCCAGGAATGCTGCAACCATCATAAACACGAATCAGTTGCTAAGCGTCTGAATGTAAATCACAGGATCTCAGAATATACTGCAACGAGCATTCTGTCAGCTTTGGAGGCCATATTAGCACCAGACAGCTCCACGCTGCCACATTCCCGAGCCTGGGAAAATGGGAGGGGGGAATTTCTGGGAGTGTATGTGGTTAGACACAATAGCATTCTTTTTCTAAGTCAAGGTCATGTTGTTTCTGCACCTGAGTGAGGGGATCTCTCAAGTTGGGACGGATGGTGATTGGGGCATGTGATGCCATGATGGGTTCCGGGGGTGGATTTGTAATTTTGTACTTATTGCAAGGAAACCTGGAACTTTCAGATTCGGGATTTCCCAGATGTGCCAGTTTATGTGATGACCTGGGGCCTGGCACAAAGGCAACACAGTCAGATAATCAACAGGAGTCCCTTTATTATCTCCAACTTTGCCCCCAATGCCCAGGTTACCTTCGGCTAGAGAAAAACTCTCCCAGGAACAGCCTTTGGCTGTAGAAAATTCAGTCCAAAACAAGGTACACACAAACAGTAACTTAAAATCCAAACAAACCAAACTGAAGCTTGACGGGGCAGGAGAAGGAATTGCAGACTTGAAAGCACAGCAAAACTCACACAGTTGTGAAGAAGCTAGGAATACAGATAAGCCTCAACGATACCAGATAACTCATGATTTGCTTCCAACAAGTTGCCGTATGCAGCTTACCTTTTTATGCACTGTGTTCCCAGGTGCAGCTAATGCAGGGAATCAGGGCCCTTTCCTCCCCCGTAAGCCATGCAAGTCACGTTGCTCCCTTCTCCATTCCTTCCTGCATGCGCTAGGATGAAAGGGGGGTGGTCCTGGGTCTTCCTCTGAATTCCCTCTCCCTTGGTCTACCTCTTCCCTGCTCTGCCCAGCTGGACTGTGCCCTTCCCCAGTTTCCTCCACAGCCAGCGGAGCCACACTCCCCCTCCCTGTCAGCTTCCTCCTCCAAGTCAGATTCTGACAGGGGCATGACAGTTTAATACTCTAATAAAAAAGACTTCAGAAAGGATGTCTTCTCAGGAGTTATTTGTTGGAGTGGAGGTTTTCTGGAACGCTGACACATACGTGTGAAAAATGTTCATAAGTCATTTTTTTTCGGTGACAGCATAACCTCGAATGGTCACTAAATGAGCTATTGTAAGTTGAGGACTTCTTGTATTTTCCAAAACCAAAAGTGTCTTTTTTTTTGTTTTTTTGGGGGGGTTTGGTGGGTCTCGGTGCTAATTTGGGTCTCCTTCCATTCCAGAAAAATTGTCCCTGGAAGGAATTGTGGTGCAACGGGCAGAATGTCGGCCAGCCGCCAACGAAAGTTACATGAAACTGAAAAGGTAACAACTACTGAGGTTTCTTTTGGGGGAGTCTGCAATGGGATACAGGGAATCCTCAAGTTACGACCAGAACTGAGCCCGGAAATTACTTCTGTGGCTCAATGAAAACGATTGTTCGGTGAGTTTTTTTTGAGCCCCGTTTGATGAATTTCCTTGCCGCCCATCGTTAAGGAAATCATTGCACTTGTCAAGTTGGTCACATCAAAGGGCAGAGTGACAGGCACAAATTATCCCTAAAATCTGATAAAAATGATTTCAAATGGAATTGGAATAAAATACGATTTAAAATGAAATTGGAATAAAATACAATTTAAAATGAAATTGGAATAAAATACAGTTTAAAATGAAATTGGAATAAAATGCAATCATTTAATGTATATAAATATATAGATAAATAAAATATGATCAAATTTTATTTTCCCTTTGAAATGAGAGAGTTGAGGGCTGTTTGGAAACTGAAACAGTATTTGCTGTGTGAGCAAGGAGGACAGCAAGGAGCCTGGGCGTGGTTTAGCTCAACTGTCCTGTACTAAAGCTGCTTGGGGCTGTTAAACTGAAACTGAAACTCCTCTCCTCTGCTTGTGTTTTGCCTTTGGAAGAGATTTCTTTCAGAACTCCTTAGCATCAGAGCGTGTTAATAATAATAATAATAATATAGGAAATTCTAATGCTCATTTGGAAAAATCCTTTCTTAGTGAGCCCCTAGAAGCCAAGAGGAACATATGGGCCAAATTTCAAGTTTGAAATATATATATATGGAAATCTCTTTTTTTATGTGTGTGTGTGTTTATAAAAGCATGCATGCATGCTTTTGGAAAATATATATATAATATTATATTATATTATATATAATTTATATATATATGCTTTTATAAACACACACACTCACACACACATATAAAAAAGAGATTTCCATTTAAAAGTCACCTTTTTCAAGAACAAAGGACTGAAACTTAAAGGCTTGGCAAGCTTTGTAGTTGAATGGCGAGAGCTTCACGGAAGACGGAAGACGTTGAGATTCATTAGTCCTCTTTTCTGAGCTGCCCTCTATCTGGAACCGCTTGCTTCAAAGTTCTTCTGGAGATAAATATCCTTTTCATCTGGGCATGAAAGAAAATAATAATCATTAAAAAAGAAAAAACAAACGGAGGAGACTTATTTGAACAATTTCTCTACTTGAACTTAATACCAGTCGAGATGCTGCGGAATAAATCTTTGGCTTCCCTTTAAATCCCATTCAATTAAAGCACCTGGAGCGACAGCCAGGATGGCAGAGATGAATTTGAATTCGTGGCCCAGGAACATTCTTGTTATGTTCTCCAGTCTCCAACCACCGATACTCCTTCCCAATTCGAATTCAGAGCCCTGGGCCTCTTGGTTGGAGATGTCCATATTATCCACAATTGTCCCAAAGGACCCCCCAGTCGTTGTCATCGTTGTCCTCCTCCTCCTCCGCCTCCCCCCCACAACAAACCCCACACCCTTCTAGCACTGATGATGTTCCCTAGTTGGGTCATGAAACATCTGCAAGAAAACAACCAAAAGCTCAGAGAACACCGAGGACCTCACAGTCCTCTCCTCCTCCTCTTCCTCTTCTTCCTCCTCTTCTTCCTCTTCTTCTTTCTCCTCCTCTTTTTCTTCTTCTATTCTTATCCTTCTTCCTCCTCCTTCTCTTCCTCCTCCTCCACTTCTCCTTCTCCTCCTCCTCTTCCTCTCCTTCTTCTTCTTCTTCCTCTTCTTCTTCTTCCTCCTCCTCCTCCTCTTCTTCTTTCTCCTCCTCTTTTTCTTCTTATATTCTTTTTTTCTTCCTCTTCCTTCTCTTCCTCCTCCTCCACTTCTCCTCCTCCTCCTTCTTCCTCATCTTCCTCCTCTTCCTCCTCTTTTTTCTTCTTCCTCTTCTTCTTCTTCCTCCTCCTCCTCTTATTCTTTCTCCCCCTCCTCTTTTCCTTCTTCTATTCTTTTTCTTCTTCCTCCTCCTTCTCTTCCTCTTCCTCCTCCTGCTCCACTTCTCCTTCTTCTCCTTCTCTCCTTCTTCCTCTTCTTCCTCCTCTTCTTCCTCTTCCTTTTTCTTCTTCTCTTCCTCCTCTCCTTCCTCTTCCTCTTCTTCCTCCTCCTCCACAAACCCCACTCCCTTCTAGCACTGACGATGTTTATTTATTTTATTTATTTGATTTGTCAATCACTTACAAGATAAGAGGTATAAGTATAAACATATTTATGAATACATGAAATGGATACATATCAGAAAAATAAAAAGAATCAATAGTTTCCTAGTTGAGTCACGAAACGTGTGCAAGGAACCGAGGACCCCACAGTTCAACCCCAAGCAGGAAATATTCTCTTCTGTCCACATTACAAAACCCTCCCTTCGGTTTCCCCTCCTTTTTCTCCGTTGGAACTATCGCATTCCAACGGCTAGCAGGTATTTAACGTCCATGTCTCAATACCTGCGAATCCAAGAATTCCACTTCAACGGATCTCTTTTACAATGCAAGGATTTCAGAGAGTTGATGGTTTATTTTTGTTTCCCCTGCTTGCCAGAGCAGGCTGTGAAGGCTCATCCAGCCTTCCCTGGGCTCCCAGCCAGGCCCTTCTCGAAGCAAGATGTCTTTTGCATGACAAAGAGCCGTCTCCAAGCGAGAGAATTAAAGCAGAAATAGTTGGCGGGGTTCTTTTCCTGTTTTTTTTTTTTGGGGGGGGGGGGGAATCAGGGCTACAGAACCTTCTCAGAAAAAGCGGTTGCCACTTTCTTGACCTTCAACAATCGACTTTTTATTTAAAATTCAGGTAAAGTCGGTGGCTCTATCAAAAATATGTCTGCTGTGTTGTTTTTTTTATTCCTCGCGCTATAAGATTTTTTGATCTGAGCAAAGCTCAGGGTTTTAATTCGTAGTAACGATAACTACTAAGCAGCGTTTTCTTTTCCTGCTGGTGTGTATATACAAAGAATAGGTGTAAATTGTAACTGAAAATTACATTTTTTTCCTAATCAATTTAGAGGACGGGGATGGTTTCATTATTGGTTCCAGTTGTAAGGCTTGGGGGGGGGGGCTTATATTTTGATTGACTTTGGTTATATCTGGATTTAGAAAATGCAAAGCCTGGTGTCTAAAATAAATTCAGAAGCAAACATCAGTTTTAAGACACTGAATAATCCAAATAAATGGGGACTACAAAAAGGAAAAAGAAATCCAAATATTTAATAAAACGATTTAAACTAACATTATTTTCAAGGGGAAGAGAATCGAAGAAAAGTCTTAGTTACCTTTGGGACAACCATGATCTGGTGGGCTGAGGATCTCCTTAGACATCCAGCGGCTTGTCTGATTAGCTTTTGTTCCCAGGGGTTATTGTTCTGACCCAGGCTTCGTCAAACGGAATTAAACACAAACTTGTTTTAAAAGCAAAACCTATTTTATTGCAACGCTGGGAATTACTTTCATTCCCCAGCCAGAAGTAATTATAAATAGTTCCCCAAGATAAGCACCCACCTTTCAGTGCTATGGAATGTTGCCAAAAACAGAAGCATCCAAATAATTATAACAGAAACCAACCGAAGTACCAAAAAAAAAAAAAAAAACAACCAGAGTTCACAGAGCTTCAAGGAGGACTCAAAATCTATCGAATTACTTTGCTTCCTGCAAAGGTTTTGTCAGTGAAGTGTTGTAAGTCGAGGAGTGCCTGAAGGGAGGAAGGACACGCCGGCCGGCGGTTCTGCAGCACATGTTGCGGGCCTTGACTTCCCAACCCATTTACGTCACCTTGGATGGGTTTCCAATTGTTGACAAGCTTTTGGGAATTGGTTGAGAAAGTGCTTTTTAGCCGCAGCCCTTAGACTTATCTAGCGCTTTACAGTGCTTTCATAGCCCTCTCTGAGTGGTTTACAGAGTCAGCCTGTTGCCCCCCCCAATGCGCACCACCATGGCTCCTTCCTTCCCTCCCTCCCTCCTTCCTTCCTCTTTCCCTCCCTTCCTCCCCCTCACTCCCTCCCTCTTTTGTCCCTCTTCCTTCTTTCTTCTGTCCCTCCTTCCTTCCTTTTCCCTCCCTCCCCCTCCCTCCCATCCCTCCTTCTCTCTCCCTCCCTCCTTCCTTCCTTCTTCTGTCCCTTCTTCCTTCCTTTTTCCCTCCCCCTCCCCTCTCCTTCTTCTGTCTCCTTCCTTCCTTCCTTCTTCTGTCCCTCCCTCCCTCCTTCCTCTTTCCCTCCCTCCCTCCTTCCTTCTTCTGTCCCTTCCTTCTTCCCTCCTTCCTTCTTCTGTCCCTCCCTCCTTCTTTTCACTTTCTCTTCCTTCCTCCTTCCCTCCTTCCTTCCTTTTTCTGACCCTCCTCTCTCCTTCCTTCCTCTTTCCCTTCCTCCCCCCCCCTCCCTCCCATCCCTCCTTCTGTCCCTCCTTCCTTCCTCTTTCCCTTCCTCCCTCCCTCCCTCATTCCTTCCTCTTTCCCTCCCCCTCCCCCTCCTTCTTCTGTCTCCTTCCTTCCTCTTTCCCTCCCTCCCTCCTTCTTCTGTCCCTTCCTCCTTCCCCCCTTCCTTCTTTCTTCTGTCCCTCCCTCCTTCCTTTCGCTTTCTCTTCCTTCCTCCTTCCCTCCTTACTTCCTTCTTCTGTCCCCCCTCCTTCCTTCCTTCCTCTCTCCCTTCTCTTTTCTGTCTTTTCCTTCCTTCCTTCTTCTGTCCCTTCCTCCCTCCCTCCCTCCCTCCTTCCTTCCTCTTTCCCTCCCTCCCTCCTCCCTCCCTCCCTTTTCTGTCTTTTCCTTCCTTCCTTCCGCCCTCCCTCCCTTCATCTCCCACTAGGAGCCCGGCAGCTCTCCCCCTGTCCTATTCTGAGGGATGTAGAGACACCCACCCACCCCAGTCATGAGAAAGCGTCGTAACGTCTTCGTAAACCCTGTGTAGCGACTGTGCCCGTGGTCTGCACTTGGGATTGAACGAGAACGCAGACAGTCTGTGGACCGGCAGCTCCGTGCTATCTGGAGAGGCAGACGGAGCAGGGAGAGTGGCAGATGGC